TCTTCGGGATCGAATCACTACTCGATGAAGATCTGGGAATAGAGCAAGAGAAGGTGGTTTACATGCACGGCGTCGAAGAGAAGCGCATGAATTTCCTTCGATGGAGAATCCAGTTCCTGGAAAAGAGCATCAGAAAGCTCGATTTCAGCCCCGATGGGATCTCCACCATCGTTCAAATCATTGATCTCAAAATTTCCTCCTCCTCCTTCAAGAAAGAACTCTGTCAAGTTCTTCAGTTGCTCCAGGACAATTACCCAGAATTCGTCGCCAAACAGGTACCTACCTCTCCATTAATAATCTGTCAGTTCAATTTCTTAAATTGTCTGGGACATGATGACATGTTCTGATCGTTGTCTACTATTCTGTTGAGTCTGCGGGGAGGACGTTCAAAGATGGGGTCTTTAGGGCTCCAAACGGTGGGGAGAGTTCATCCGCCAGAAGGCTCCTACTGTGGAGAATTTTTTGCCTTGTAGCTTGGAGGATCTTTATAAAGGCGCTAAGAAGAAGATGAAGATCTCTAGGACTGTAGCCAATTCTGCAGGGTACGTCTTTTCTGGTATTTTGCAATTTCTTTATCTAAACTTCTATACATCAATTGTGCAAATGAGTATTAACATACTATTGATTCTAGTCTATCGAGTAATGAGTATTAACATACTATTGATTCTAGTTTGCCATTAGCAGCTTTTAGGTTGCTCTAGATTGTATTGTGGTCGACCCTTGTGCAGCTTTCTTGGTGTTTATTGTTACAGGGCTATTATGTGTTGGAATCAAAGAGGTATTCCTTCATTTTCTTCCAAAGATCTTTTTTTTCTTCATTAAGTTGTGTTGGAACTATTGTTAAACATGTTTGTTTTATGAAATTTGAATGTTGCAGAGCACTTTCGTGCAATCAGTGGTCACGACTGCAAACATTTGTGCTATGATCTTTATTATTCTAGCGGGTGGATATCCAGGGTTCAAAAGTGGATGGATTGGGTATAGACTTCATGTTGGGTTTGTTTCATATCTTTATCATCTTCATGGTGTCGATCAATTTTTCCTCATGATCTGCTGAAATCACAAATTCCAATTCTGTTGGAATCACAAATTCCAAATAGTGATCAATTCTGTTGGAATGGAATCACGAATTCTAATTCTGTTGGAATCACAGAAGTTGATGCTTGAAGAACGGACCACAAAATTGAAAGTGATTCTAAGCAACATTGTTCTTTTAGAATGTATTATTGTCGTTGTTAGATTTTGATGTTTTCTTTCCCGTTTTGAAAGTTTTTTTAGTTTTATTCTTTAACAATAAATGTAATTAGTAACAATTGTTACCCGTATTCTATAAGAAATAATGTATTTTTTGTTTTTATTCTTCAATCGATTGTTCAAGAATTTGTTATTCTACAAGAAGTTTTTAAAGTCACGATCAAGAAATAAGTTCAAAAATATTTTTATTATTTATTGTTCAAGAATATTTTTATTTTTGAATATACTCATAAACATATTCTGTCAGAATGTCTGAATTAAAAGAATTATAATTTGTAAAATCAGATTTTTAAAATTAATAGAATCTATGATCCCTTAAAAAATGCAATTTTCCTTTATTAAATCTATATTAATTGACTAAAATACCCTTGCAATTAATTAAAATGATATTTTTCAATTATATTTAATTCAATAATATATATTAATCAATTTCTTAAAATAAGTAAATTTGATTGGCCCACATTTATGCATACAATAACACAATAATTACTTTGAATAGAATAACTTAGGCCTATATATATATATATATATATATATATATATATATATATATGTGTGTGTGTGTATGTGTGTGTGTATCTATGTGATTCGAGATATAGATAGTCTAAGAATTCATGGTCCACATTTTGTAAAATACGATTACAGATGAATGGATGACTTATAAACAAACTTATTTAATTTCATCTATATTGTTTAGCAGATAATGAAGACGTGAGTGTAGAAGGACCTTGCCGTCAAAACTGGTTGCCGAAACGCCGTTGGTTTCGAAAATACCGATGAAGGATCCGGTAATGGCCGCCGGAAACATGGCTGCTAGAGGACAATATCGTCAGAATTACAGAGTTTGCCGGAAACGTTTCCATCAGAGGAGGGTGGTCAGACGATGGTGGCCAACAACAGAGATATGGAGGAAGATAATTGAAGACGGAGATGGAAGATGAAGAAGTGGTTGTAGCGTCGACTGACGATAATAGATAAATAAAAATTGATCCCTTAAATAAATGTATAATTTTGGATAATAATTAATATATGTAATATTACTAACATACCCTTATTAATTTAATTAATGATTCATTTTTTCTTAAAATTCTGATTGGTCAATTCATGCACACAATAGTTGTTAGAAACATTTAAACCTATATATATATATATATATATATATATATATATATATATATTAGTCTTATATTATAGAGAAATATAAATAAATCATTTGATGTATTTTGTTTAATTAATATTGCATTTATTTTGTAATAAAATAGAGTTTATTAATAATATTTCCGCCGGTTAAAAACAAAAAACAAAAAATAATAAAAACAAATAAAAGTTAGAAAGAAATGGGGCAATCCAAGCCAATCTAAGATCCTGATGGTGGCCTAGTTCACGGGTGTATCAACAATTTAGATTTCTTTTTTAAATAGATTTTGGTGAGCGCTCATCAAATCCCACCGATGGGGATAGTCTTATCATGCCAACATATGCTTCTAAAAGCATGTGTAAATAGTGAGTATTACCTAATAAAAATGATAGAGATACATGAAAATTCAATAGCCAATGGACTTTGTGAAAATGCACAAGCAACCACGCATCAATTGTTCAAGCAACGCATCTACGGGCAAGAAATAATCATATGAGATTAATACGAATGGTAATTAAGAGTATAACCATAAGCATGGTAATTAAGAGAATAACCATAAGCATAAAATACAAATAAAAGACTAAAATAACCATTGTTCATAATGATTTACCATAAATGGTCTGAATATATAACATACTATTGAAACTAGGTGATAGGTAAAACATGTTTGTCGGTTTATTTAGGTATCAATTATTTCGACTAGTCATTGGAGCATCAATATCGAGGGCAAAATGCATTGTATGTATGGTCGCCAACAAAAAAAATAAATAAATAAATAAACATAGTTATGCACAATCTGCATACTATGAAATTGTCATTATTTGGACATTTTATTGTAAGAATCTTCAAAGACTACTAAAAATGATTAAAGACATTATATGTTAAAAAAACAAATAGGCCAAAATATAAAAGTATGCCATTTTTTTTAATCATTTTACATATTTAAACAATTTTTGCCTAACACTCTGAATAATGTTTATCAATTTATACTCTTTTGTCACCACATAAGTTAATCCAAATACATTTTAAAAACTTTATTTTGTTACAGTATAAGCTAGTAAACATTTAAAAAGAATCAAAACTCAATCCTAAACACCCCTTTTAATTGCTATAACTTGTTTTTTTAGAAAAATGGTAAACTACGCTATCTGAGCGGTCCACAGTGAACTCGTCTCCGAACCATTAATATGAGGTCAATTGTGGAGCACTAGCAATATTTTAGATGTATCAAAATTTGAATCATGAACCTCATGTATGAAATCATGTACATCAATCACCAAGCATCGAGGGATAGTGTTGTTCACTAAATCAATTATAGTTTATTTAGTGATATTTGCTATTTTGATAACCATATTTTTGTTTTATATGTATGACATTATAGTAGATTATTGCAATGATAACTATAACAACATGCATTTTATCGATGTGTTTACTCTAAGCTATATAGAGTCCAAATAAATATGGACAAGCTATAGTCGCTTAAGGAATGACAAGCCTTAACCGAAGTGTCGATCACTAGACCCTCAACCTGCTTTGTATGTATCACATAAACCATTCTTGCCAAATTTCCATCGGTATAAACCTACCAAAATCAAAATCAAAAGATTTTAACAATAAATACATTAAAAACATTTTATCTTTAAAAACTCATATAAGACCATTAACTATTTGATATCTTAATTTATGAAATGTAGTTTAGTTACATAAAAACAATATAATTAATATATAACATTATTACAAAATTGTAATATATAATTTCCATCTGTATCAACGTACCAAAATCAAAATCAAAAGATTTTAACAATAAATACATTAAAAACATTTTATCTTTAAAAACTCATATAAGACCATTAATTATTTGATATCTTAATTTATGAAATGTAGTTTAGTTACATAAAAACAATATAATTAATATATAACATTATTACAAAATTGTAATATATAATTTCCATCTGGATCAACGTACCAAAATCAAAATCAAAAGATTTTAACAATAAATACTTTAAAAAACATTTTATCTTTTAAAACTCATATAAGATCATTAACTATTTGATATCTTAATTTATGAAATGTAGTTTAGTTACATAAAAACAATATAATTAATATATAACATTATTACAAAATTGTAATATATAATTTCCATCTGGATCAACGTACCAAAATCAAAATCAAAAGATTTTAACAATAAATACTTTAAAAAACATTTTATCTTTTAAAACTCATATAAGATCATTAACTATTTGATATCTTAATTTATGAATTGTAGTTTAGTTACATAAAAACAATATAACTAATATATAACATTATTGCAAAATTGTAATATATGATACTAATAAACTTTGTGTGAAAAAACAATATAATTAATATATAACATTATTTCAAAATTGTAATATATGATACTAATAAACTTTGTGTGAAAAAATAACCGCTAGATGGAGGGCTTGAACCTCCGACCTTGTGGTTAACAGCCACACGCTCTAACCAACTGAGCTATTCCAGCTTTTTGTTTTTAGATTCCAGTCTTATTCTATTATACATTATAATATTGAGAATACATATCTGTTTTTCTCTGCTTGCACCTGAATCTCTTTCGTCTTCGAGGACGACGATGTGGAGAAGAAGAGTTTTCTCTTTGTTCCGATACTTCTCTTCTGAACCAGAAACCCCATCTCCTCCTTCCGTTTATTCCTTCCTCCAGCCCTCAATCTTTGCTGTAAGAAAACCCCAATGCAATCAACCTACTAATCAAACCCCAAAATCTACATCCATAGATAACCAACTTAACCCCAATCTCGAATCCACTCTCCAACTGTCTCTCCAGGAAAATAACACAGACGAAGCTTGGAAGTGTTTCAAATCTCTTTCATCGTCATCTTCATTATTACCAAGTAAGCCTCTCATTAACTCATTGATTGCTCGTTTGTGTTCAGCCGGGAACGACACTCACAATCTCAAAAGGGCGTTTGCTACTTTGATGTTCGTGTTAGAGACAAACCCAGATGTATTAGACCCTAAATCAGTCAAGACTTTCTTAATTTCAATCAAGGATACAAATGGTGCCCCTGCTTTTGCATTGGTCAAGTCTATGCTCAAGAACAGGTACTTCATTCCTTTTGGCATCTGGGGAGATACGCTTGTGGAGATTAGTAAGAAAAATGGTAGATTTTGTGACTTTTTCGAGGTCTTCAATGAGAACTGTAGGATAGCAAAGGAGGAAAAGTTAGAATCTTTGAAACCCGATTTGTCTGCTTGTAACGCTGCTTTGGAGGGCTGTTGCCATGAACTTGAATCAGTTTCTGACGCCCACAAGGTGCTCGACGTAATGTCTCTCTTAGGTGTTCGCCCAGATGAGACCACTTTTAGTTACCTTGCTTATCTATACGCAACAAAAGGACTCGAGAACAAGATAATCGAACTACAAGACTTGGTATCTAGGTTCAAATTTCCTAATAAAACCATTTTTATTAGCAATCTGATAAGCGGATATGTAAAATCAGGCTATCTAGAATCTGTTTCCATCACTATCTTGCAAAGTTTAAAAGAATCAGATCAAAAAGGTCTAAACTTTCTTGAAGAAACTTATCTCAAAATAGTAAAAGGATATCTTGACCATGGAAGCATCAAAGATTTAGCAAGATTAATACTTGAAGCTCAAAAGTTAGAATCTACATCTGTAACAGTTGAAAACTCCATTGGATATGGTATCATAAACGCATGTGTTAATAATCTTGGTTTATTAGAAAAAGCACATAACATTCTTGATGAAATGAATATATTAGGAGGTTCAATAGGGCTTGGAGTTTACGTGTCAATCTTGAAAGCTTACACTAAAGAACAAAGAACAGCAGAAGCTTCACAAATGGTATCAGAAATGTGTAGTTTAGGGTTAGAACTCGATGTTAATATCTTTGATGCTTTAATAGACGTGTGTATGTCTAGTCAAGATTTTGAGTCAGCATTTTCACTTTTTAGAGACATGAGGGAAGCAAGAATACATGAATTAACAGGTAGTTATTTAACAATAATGACAGGATTAACAGAAAACCATAGACCTGAACTTATGGCAGCCTTTTTAGATGAAGTAGTTGATGATCCACGGGTCAAAATCGGGACCCACGATTGGAATTCGATTATCCATGCGTTTTGTAAAGCGGGTCGTTTAGAGGATGCAAGAAGAACACTTAGGAGGATGATTTTTCTTCAATTTGAACCTAGTGAGCAAACGTATGTTTCTTTGGTGAATGGATATATGAATGCGGGAGATTATTTTAGTGTTTTGATGATGTGGAATGATGTTAAGAAACGAGGTGATAAAGGTTTGAAATTGGATCATGGTTTGGTTGATGGGTTGTTGTATGGGTTGGTGAAAGGGGGGTTCTTTGATGCTGTGATGGAAGTTGTGGAGAGGTCTCAAGAGATGAAGATATTTGTAGATAAATGGAGGTATAAACAAGCGTTTATGGAGACTCATAAGAAGCTTAAAGTGTCGAAATTGAGAAAAAGAAGTGTTAAGAAAATGGAAGCTCTTATTGCTTTTAAAAATTGGGCTGGTCTAAATACATGATATATCATCGAGATTTTTTTTTGTTTTGTTTTTTTTATTTTGCCAAAATTGATGTTGCAAAACCAATAATATGTATTATATTTGTAGCTATCTCCTTATTAGGTATACATAACACGTCATAGGCATGATGATGAGGTGAACACTTCTTCACGCCCTTTCCCCTGATGTGATGCCTTGTTGGTGTGGAGGGACGTGGCCTTTGCCACACGGTGTCACACCCATATTTTTCAAAATTTTGGCCATTGGTAATTAATAAATGTATTTATTTTTTAATTTTTTAATATTCTTTTCAAAACTAACCTTATGAATACCCAAGTATTTATAAACTTTTCACACAAACTTTTCACTCTTTTATTTTCATAAACATAAAGCAACACACGGTTTCTCAATAACGTTTGGAAACATTAATTGGCGTGGGGCAGTTGTCCAAACACATGGCGAAGTTAATTCATGTGAGGTGATCATAGAATCATGACGATGATAATAAATACATTGCGAGGTCAATTTATGTGAGATGGTCATGGAATCCTGGTGTCATAAGATCTGTGGTTTTGGCATGCATACTTTGATGTTGTAGGGTCCAACACTGACATAAGCGTTTTAACCGGACACCAACATTAAATGATATTCTAGCAAGAAAAGCACATGCTTTTCCGTTTGTAGCAGATGAAAATCAATATTTGTATGGTATTACTTTGTTGATGGGATACATCTTAATTACGTTATATTTTTTCAAATCATACTCATCATATTCACAAGATGAAAAACAAAAATTGCTCAAGAAAGTGAAAGAATCAACAAATAAATAAATGGAGCGAACTTTTGGAGTCCTTAAAAAATGGAACATAATGAAACACTTGACACGAGCTATTTGTGTGTATAATCTGTACAATGGATTTCATCGGTATCTGTATCTGTATGAACAATTTACACCCTATAGCCCACAATACTTCTCAAGAAATTACATAGCAAAAAACACACAACAATCTTCTCCGGATCATATATACCACATGAAGACTCTTAGCGACGATGACGACGACGACAATGACAACAACAAAATTTAGTGTTTTTTTTTTCTTGACAATATTATATAACATTATATGTTTGATATGATGGTGTGATGAATATACTATACAACCTAATACTATATAAAGTTTGACGTATTTTACAAAATTCCTAAAAATTTAAGTACATCTTCCAAGGATTCAAGATTTCTTCAACTAGGGACAAAACACATCTACAATCTTTCTTGCCAAGTCTATTTTGTTTTTTCTCAATTTGTTTACCAATCATATCTTTTAACATTAACAAAAATGAAATTTTGGATGATTTGATATTAAAACACTTATTATAACACCTCTAGAAAAAAAAAAAATTAACGAGGTAAACCTTCGCCAAAATTCCTACCAGAAAAGAGGCATAAAAGTATATACCCAATAATTCTTCTCTATAATACTTACCGAACATGAATCAATCTGCAGCAACAACTGCCATTAAACGGATGAAAATCAGGTTGCAAGCAACGTTTTATGTGCTACTATTATCAAGGTATTTACCTCTCTGATTGTTTTTCTATATTATCGTCTTACTTTCATTTTCTTTTCACTCGTTACCCTACTCAATTAGTGTATCCATTTGATTTAAACTGTTAGCGTTTCTATGCCTCTGCAAATTGCTGATTAATATACTTGTTCATTCGATTTCAAGAACAGAAAGCGATGATTGGAGTTGTGATGTTCACTTTGGTAGTAGGGTTTTGGGTTCTATTGAGCTCAGAAGAAGTGACATCACATGGAGATCATTCTTTTGCGAAAATTGGAATACATCAAGTGACATTTGCTCTAACTGATGCTGCCTGTGTGAAAGCTTCTCCTACCATTCTAGGATCAAAGGTGTGGTTGAGATTGTAGTGATGTAGCAGTTTACTTTTCATACTGATTTTCAAGTCGAAAAGTGGAATTGTTGTCAAAATCTGATTATTTTTTTTTCTAGGGCCAAAATTCTGAATGGGTGAATGTGTACATCAGCAATTTGAACCCATCAAATGATGATTGGGTTGGAGTTTTCTCCCCTGCCAATTTCAGGTTCTTATCATTTTTATTTTCAGGTTAAATGCAATAAATAGCAAAAGAATTTTTTTCAATTTGTTTATTATAACATCCAACTTCTACTGCTATAATCACGTAGATTTCTACTAATTATAACATAGTCATCCAAATAAAAAATAAAAAATAAAAAAATTTATTGTTATAATTACGTAGAGTTCTCAAAGTATAATAATTTTGAGAACACATTTTTTGTCCCACCTTTTTTGGTAGGACAAAAAACTGCAACTTTTGTCCCGTCTTTTTGAGTAGGACAAAAGGCTGCAAATTTTATCCCACTTTTTTCAGTTGGATAAAAAATTGACCTAACAGTCTATTGTTTTCAGCGATTCAACCTGCGTCCCTGAAAACTCAAGAGTCAGCCCTCCGTATTTGTGTACTGCACCTATTAAGGTTTGTTCTTTTATTTATGACATGGGTCCTAGATAGCTTTTGGATGTGCATTTTAAAAATGATTAATCAGTTGCTAAAAGATAGGGATAGTTAGGAAATTCTACATATAATCTCAATAATTAGTTATCTAGCAACAACTCGTTACATTATTATCCAAATTTAATTATTTTGACTCGAAATAATCTGAAAACCATAATCATAACCAGTTTACAAAATCACAATAATTAATTTAAACGCGCATCCAAAGACCTCCTTGGTTAAAGTTTCTTTACAATTGTTTGCTAATTATGAATCCATTTTGCAGTTTTTATACGCAAACTACAGCAATCCTAATTACAAAGATACAGGAGAATCAACATTAAATCTTCAATTAATCAACCAAAGATCCGATTTCTCCTTTGCATTATTCACAGGCGGATTATCAACTGTAAATTCTTTTTTTTTTCAAGGTCACATCTTGTTGCCCATTTTGCATTGACCAAACGTTGACTCTATGTTTTCAGCCGAATCTTGTTGCAGTTTCAAATACAGTTACTTTTGTGAACCCAAATGCACCAAATTACCCACGATTAGCTCATGGAAAGATGTGGGATGAAGTGAGTTTGACATCTGTCTTTTTTTCTACTTTTTTATTCATTAAAAAATATGTACTCATGGAATATGGTTTTGTAGATGAGTGTGACGTGGACAAGTGGATATGGAATTGATGAAGCAAAGGCTTTTGTTGAATGGGGTAAAAAAGGTGGAGAACAGAGGCTTTCTTCTGCTGGAACTTTGACCTTTGACCAACGTAGCATGTGTGGTATATAGTAAAAGATTTACCTTTATATCATTATTTGAGTATAATTATTTATTTATTTATTTTATTTTTTGATGCGTGTATGCGGCTGATTATCTGAAGGTCCACCAGCAAGAACTGTGGGGTGGCGTGATCCTGGCTATATTCATACAAGCTTCTTGAAAGAATTATGGCCCAATATGATGTATGTTTACTAAACACTAGATTTGCTTTATTATTGGATTATACTTTTTAATTGTGTAATAAAAATAATAAATCTTGATTATTATGTTTATGTAGGTATACATACAAACTAGGGCACAAATTATTGAATGATACAATCATTTGGAGCAAGATGTACGAGTTTAAATCATCTCCATATCCTGGTCAAGATTCTCTACAACGTGTTATCATTTTTGGTGATATGGGAAAGGTTTCTACTTTATTATTATTTATTATTAATTATTCAGTTTCAGACTAATGTTTTTTAGTCAATTTCTTGGATTTTAGAGAATGACATTGGTATAAATAATTGTATAGTTTTTTTTATGTATAAAGTTGTAATAGGAAGGAATTAAAGTATGTTGCTATTTCTTGCATCTAACACTTAAATTATGTCAAAAATATGATGCAGGATGAGGTTGATGGATCTAATGAATACAATAATTTCCAACGTGGGTCCCTTAACACTACAAAGCAACTGATTGATGACTTGGAAAACATAGATATAGTCTTTCACATTGGAGATATCTGTTATGCAAATGGATATCTTTCACAATGGGACCAATTCACTTCTCAAATAGAACCAATTGCCTCATCTAAGCCTTATATGATTGCTAGGTATCATCCTACTCCTTTTTTTCTTACATACTTTGAGGTCAAACTTATGACTTTCAACTTTCAAGATTAACATTCTTGTGGATCTTTTTTTAAAATATTTACTTCTTTTATGGTTTTTATTGTTGTCATTCTATGAAATGTTTAAGTGGGTATCAAAATTTTCTAGAATCTTTAAGAATTTTTGTCATTTTAAGAAGTTTAAAACTAACATGCTTGACCTCAAAAGTCAAACTTCCCTCCCATACTTGATCTTGCTTAACAAACCATAGAAGCTTCAAACAATTCAAATTAACCATTTTGACATGTTATATCAGGTTTCACCCGTAATTCTCCAAATTAACCATTTTGACCTGTTATCAAAATGGTTAATTCAGAAAATATAAAAAAAACTTGTATGGTTTGATTGGAAAAATTGAAGTTTGAGAGTTAAACCACAAAATATAATGTTTTTTTGTCCTACAAGTTTCTTGAAATTTGAAAGAGTTCATATTCATAAAAAGTTGAAAATTATGAATGGTTGACCTCAAAATTCAAACTTTCCCTCTTATATTTTCATAGGGTTTACTTAATATCACTTTTTATAACAAATTATTTATGTTTATATAATATCATAGTGGCAATCATGAACGTGATTGGCCCAACTCAGGATCCTTCTATGAAAACAACGGTTCAGGGGGAGAATGTGGTGTTGTTGCACAAACCATGTTTCATGTTCCAACTGATAATAAAGATAAGTTCTGGTATGTCATGTCATGTTGTACTTTATGCATCAAGTGTTGTATTGCTGACTTTGACTTTTGACCATGTAGGTATTCTACAGACTATGGCATGTTTAGGTTTTGCATTGCTGACTCAGAGCATGATTGGAGAGAAGGAAGCGAACAATATAATTTTATAAAAAATTGTTTTGCATCTGTGGATCGACAAAAGCAACCATGGTTGATTTTCATTGCACATCGTGTATTGGGATATTCTTCTTCTTTGGTTTATGCAGTTGAAGGTTCATTTGGAGAACCAATGGGAAGAGATAGCCTTCAAAAGCTATGGCAAAAATATAAAGTTGATATAGCTATTTATGGACATGCACATAATTATGAAAGGACGTGTCCCATTTATGAGGTATGTTTATAAAATTTTAAACAATACTTAAGAAAAATGAATGCACACTTAGGGAAATGAGAGGAAAAAGTAAATAATAGCAAATTTATTATCTTTTAAGAATCTGTTTGATAGTTGTTGATTGAGTCAAAGTCTGATTAAAGTCAGATCCAATTTCTTACCAGACCCTGTTAGAAACATATCAAATGCTATAAGACCAAATCATAGGCTTCTAATTATGGTATCAAACTGTCTGAATCTGACTGTTGACTTTTTCTATAAACTTGTTGATTTAGAATACTTGCATGAGTGATGAGAAGGAGCATTACAAAGGCGGCTTAAATGGGACAATACATGTGGTGGCTGGTGGTGGAGGGGCGAGCCTTACCCCATTTGCTCCATTTAAAACCACTTGGAGCATCTATAGAGATTACGATTACGGGTTTTTAAAACTTACTGCATATGACCATTCTACCCTTTTGTTCGAATACAAGAAAAGTAGAGATGGACAAGTATATGATTCATTCATGATTTCCCGTGATTATAGAGACATATTGGCATGTACAATCGATAGTTGTCCAAGTACAACCTTAGCATCTTGAAGATTGCATGTGTACACCATTTGGGGTATTTTTGGAAAGTTAATGTGTGGAAATGGTATTGTGCAAAAATAAAAGTGTAGGGGGGTGATGTGTTTATGGTTGATAGTATAGGGGGTGAGTGTATTTTAATGTAGGTATTTGATGTTAGGATTGTAATAAATCCATGTATGGTGGAGTCGTGCTTGGTTGTCATGATGTTGATCTATGCATTTTAGACGATATATGATCTTGTTATAAATGAAATCTCAACTATATTTTATATTGAGTTCAAAATTTCATTAATGATAAATGGATAACAAAAAGTTCTATTCTATAAAAATATGCAAGTTGCTCTATTATTTTACCAATGTATGTAATATTTTTTTTAGTTATTTAATGTGACATATTTACCAAATTTTAGTTGGTTTTACTTGCAATGACAAAAGATGTAACAAGTTTGGCTCATTTGAATCCGAAGTGGATTCTTTTTAGATCATAGATGACTTTTTTTTTTAAATTATTTGCAAAACATGTATAACATGTATTATAAAAAATTGAATTATGTTTATATACATCATACAATTTATTTAAGGATATATATTTATTTAGTTAAAATTTATTATTATAAAATAGCATTTTTTTTTCTTTATTTATCAATTTACCTTATTTAGTTTTCTATTTATTAATAACAAACAATATGTCTAAATGATTTATTAGTAGTATCCAATACATATAACAACGAAATGTATCAATCAATTTCGTTATATTGTGTATTTAATTCTATGGTTACATTCTATGGTGATGTCTATTTTATTTTTTAGTGATTCAATTCCATCATTTATTTTTTTGAGGTTATCATATGGATTATTTAAAGATACTTGGCTAAAAATGGAAAGGGTTAATTGAGGACCTTATTATTCCAATCGACAATCATGTGGTTTGGAACATTGCAATTAAATAATGAAAGTGACTATATAAACAAAACATATTCAAACACAATGATCACATAGTCTACCATTTTCTTCTTTTGTTTTCAATCTTTCAAACTACAAGTTCACGTCTCCATTTGTTAAAGCACACAAAACATCTCTCAAATTCCTTCCAGGGTTTTGCAGCAATCATCTTCTTCCGAAGTGGGTAACCTTTTACTAAACAGATCTACCTGTCATCAAGCCTAAAAATCAGACTTTTGAGCCCTCTTCAAAAGTTCAAAGTTCACGTTCATATCCTCCTGCCAGCGTTGCATAAAAGATCGATCATGGAGTTCTGGGTGGTTGCAGCAGCTACTGGTGCAGGTTACGTGGCCAAGCATTGGCAGAATTTATCAGGGGAGAAAGATGGCTCATCAAAGCAGTCACAATCTTTGCCATCACCACGCCTGCAACAAGACGCACGCCAAGTGTTCGACAAAATACCTGACCCAGTTTTCCCATTGCCAAAGTTAGCAAAAAGATGCTTGTTAGACAGAGATGTTGATCACGTTTCCGGTTCAACTTCAACCTTTATCGAGAAACAAGTAGATCAAGATCACACAACTGAAATCGATGGAAAACAAGAGTACTTAGACACATCTTCTAACAATCGTTTACACAAATTCAAAACCAAGAACATGAACAGCAAACCATTCACGAGTCTAAGGCCCTTAGTGGTAACTGGTAACAACAAAGATTTAAAAGATCATAAGGTCGTGTTCATGGAAGAAAAAGAAAATGGCAATGGTGCATGTATAGACGGCTCACCATTCTTGGAACAACCAATTGGATCAATGAAGCTTCCAAGAAGACAAAACGAAAATTTTGACATGGTGTTGTTGTTTGTAGGTATTACAATGGGGATACTATCGGGTACTTTTACTAATAAAAAAGAAATCGAGCATCTAAATGATTTGCTAGAACAAGCTGAGAATATGGTTAAAGATTTACACTCTAAACTTGAAATAAAAGATGGATTTAACACAAAGAAGCTTGAAATCGAGCCAGATGGAACTGCAATTGATAGTCCAAAAGGGGAAAAGTTTGAGTTAACCAGTGACATTGAGGCAGAACTTGAGGCTGAGCTTGAGAGGTTGGAAGAAAATATGAAGAGTTGCACAATGCAAAGATTGTCTAATGTTGTTGAGGTAAGCTTACTAAGACCCTATTTTTCCATAAAATGTTAACTAGATAAATGATGTTTAAAAAATATTTTAAAAACTGGTCTAACAAATTTGTAAAAAATTGGAACTTTAGATGTTCAATACTTCTTTTTGCATCAAGTAAAAAAGAAACACTAGTATATAGTTTCTCTGTTAAGTTGTTCTTTCTGTATTAAGTAAAAAAACATTCATATATAGTTTACCAGATTAAGTCATGTCCCCCTTTAAGTCCATTAAGTCAAAAAGAAACAATACTTTTTCTCATCAAGTCTATCAACTAAAAAATATACATTTCACAGATTGATTCAGACTTTGAAGCAGACATGGCTAGAGGAGATCTGAACCTAGATACAGTCAACTGGCAACTCGATAGTCAATCCGAATCAGACCCCAGGGGCAAAACTGGAAAAAGTAGCAAAAGTGAAAACACCAACCGCGTTTTCACTCCAAACTACGCAGTTTCATCAATAGACTTACAATTACGCCTTCATGAAGTAATCGAATCCAACCTCGAAGCACGTATCAAGGAACTCGAGTCACTTCTCAAAAATCAAAATACCCAAAATACCCCTCGTTCACATTCACCATGCCCACAAGAAGAAAACTCTTTCTGGGACTTCGACCACACCAGAATCGAATCTTTTTCATCAACCCCTTAAAAGAAAAAGATCATAAAGTACAACCATATGTTATATGTACAAATACAAAATGAAAGGGGTATTGGGAATTGTTTATTTTTATATAATAAAAAAAAAAAAAAGAAATGAAAATCTAGAGAGGGAAAACTTTCTTATGTTTGAAATAAAACAAGAAACAGATATACAAAACCCCACATAAAGTTGCACTGATGGTAACAACCCAATTGAATCTATTTGGCTCGTTGAAAACATCGTCTTCAAAGTTCATTCCAAATACAGCTGTCACAACTGCAAATACTGTTGCTAGAAATGTAGCAGCTGTTAAAAGCAGCTCGAATTTAATCAGCTTGTTTTGAACATTTCCCTATTTAATTATAATATAAACTTCCATTAGAATCAATAATCATGAAAGAGAGATAAGTTCATGGTCATAGGAAATATGGTTGCTTACAAGCTTAATGTTGATGAGATCTTCAGTGTCATCGATATATTCCTTGAGCTACAAATGGATAATTTAAATGATGTTTAAATCTCATGGTAGATGTCTATCCGTTTTAGTTTTTTTTTTTTTTTTTATTCATAAAAGTCATCGTAGATGAAAAATGTTGAGGTGATCAGCAAGGGGCAATATAGTAATTAGTATGTTAATATAACTTACAGAAAGCAACTTGTTTAGAGTGTTGTCGATTCCAACAAAGTAAGCTTCCAGCAACATCTCAAGTTGATCAATGTTTTCAGTTTCACCAGTTACAGATGAACTCAACAGGCTTCCATGTTTATTATGGGAGCTTATGTTACTAAACGCCCTTTGCAGTTTAAGTGAACCACTTGCACTTGTGGACCCCACAGGAGAAACCGGGGCAGATTTTGACACCATTCCCATTCCCAGTGTGGGCCCCACCGTTCCCATTGTTGAAGTTGAAATAATATTACCTTGAACTTGATCGTATAAATCGTTGCATGAGTTTCTTTGTTTCTTTTCAGTTAGATACATTTCAGCCATATCTCCATCATCGTTCATTAGATGTTCTATTTCATCACAAACCTGAATTTTTTTTTTAACACTTTTCAGCTTTTTTCACAACTATTTGTTTTTTAATTTAAGAGAAAACAATTTGGGACCAAAAATGTAACTTGGTCTAATAAATTTGTACCTTTTGCACACGTTGAGTCAATGCAAGAAGGTGGCCTTTGAATCTACGAACACGTTCAAGATTGAGGGTACTTATTGATTTTGCTAATTCATCAAGAACAGGATGAATTTCCATTTCCAACTCTTTAACCTATTAAATTAAATGTATTAATAATATTACATAAATATATATATATATATATATATAAAGCTTGTGTATGTATATACCTGAGTATCAAGAGTGAGGCAGGTAAACTCCAAAGCTAGTTCAAGTGCCCTAAACTCAAATGGTAGGTCATCTGAACGAAAACAGACAGCAAGGTGATAAAATTACAAAAATGGTCCCTGTGCTTTCTGATTTTTACCAAGTTTAGTGAAGAACTGAAACCTTTTCAATTTTGGTCCTTATAATAAGTTTTCGTATTGATTTTGGTCCATATTTCAAGGTTCGATATCGATTTTGGTCCTTGTTTCAAAGTTCCAAGGACCAAAATCGATTTAAACCTTGAAATGAGCATCAAACCTGAAAAAAGATTCCAATTTTGGTCCTCATTTCAAGGTTTAATATTGATTTTGGTGCTTATTTCATATAAATTTTGGTCCTTGTTTCAAGGTTTCATGGACCAATATCGATATAAAACCTCAAAATAAGGACCAAAACTGTAAAAGGTTTTAATTTGGACTAAACATTGGTAAAAATCTGAAAGCACAGGGACCATTTTTGTAATTTATTTACTCTAAAATTTAGATTGAATTCAGTTGTTAAAGTAAACTACAACATTGGTCCCTGTGCTTTCTGATATGTACCAAGTTTAGTCCAAAGCTAAAACCCTTTTCAGTTTTAGTCCTTATTTCAAGGTTTCGTATCAACTTTCTGATTTTGGTCCATGTTTCAAGTTTCCAAGGACCAAAACCGACATTAAATCTTTCAACCAAAACTGAAATAGGTTTCAACTTTGGGGTAATTTACAGTTGAACATAAGTGTTAAAAAAGGTTTAGAATAGTAACTTACCCGAATGATTCTCTTCCTGAAGGCGTTTACACAATTCAGACTTATATTGAACCACAGATCCATCAAGTGAATTCATAAGAAACACCTCATCAGCTGTAATTATACATCTAATCTGCTCAAGACTAACAACAATAGCCTTCTCACGCCCTAAAATTGTTGAAGGATAGATAAAAACAGGATCCAAAAGCCGAAGATCTCTAGCTGGTAAACAACAATGTCTCATTACAGTAGCTTTATCCAATTCCACAACTTTTGAGTTCCCATTTTGCTCTATTTTAATCCAAGAACGGTTTCCAAGAGCATGACCTCGTTTTTTTAACCCGGGAAAACCAGGCCCTATGAAGTTCTGGTTCTTCCCCCCACGATTAATAAGGTTGAATCTTGAGTTATCCCCATTGGCATTCATAGATTCAGTCACATTATTAGGTTGAAGTAATGGGTCCCGTGACTCTTCCATTTCTCTCACTTTTATTGATTTTGAAATTTGATGAAAGATTTATGGAGTAATATGATGTCTGCATCAGTGTCATCTACACTCCACCTAGCATCCTGTTAACAAAAGATCCACAAGTAATCTTCAAAATTGCTATAGCACCTTAGTTTATGCACGATTCTTATAGATTGCTATGGTACCTTAAATTTCACTGGAAACATGTTGTGCCAACTTAAATGTTGCAGCTTTGAAAATAAATATTAAGGATTCTTTTATAAACCAAATCACCAAGTGAATGCTTAAAGGTTTAAAGCTAAAATTCTGCCAAATTGCAAAGAAGTTTGTGAAGAACACCATATCGATGTATTTATATGAAGGTTAAGAGTTTTAATTTTCAACAACAAAATTTGAATGTATTGAGAATGGTTTAGAGAGTGTATGCATGCCATCAAGCATCCAAAAGAACGTAGCAAAATATGGAAGGGGAGATTTGATTGCTATAAATTGCTAGTATCCTGGATTATTCACCTTTTGGTAGCCACTAAACTCTTTCAAAAAATGAAATTAAAATTCATGTTCCTCAACTGAAGGAAGGCGAAAACTCATAAATTGGGGAAAACCTAAAAATGTAAGGGTCCTGAATCCTTAAATTCTCATAAATTGGAAGACAAACTAGATATAATTCGGCAATCGATAGCAATTTCACACTTCATGGAATCGATGATCTTAGCAAAGTGAAAAAAGAAAAAAATATATGATGAATAATCGAACAAAATTTCAACTAATAAGACCCAAATATAACAAATCGTACCTTGTCGAAGAACTACGGAACTGGATTCCATGAAAAGCACTGAAAATTTTAATTTATGAAGAAGGTGCTATATATTCATTTCGAGATTGGAGGTCTGATTACAGTGAAACATGAAATTGTGGGCGATGATGATGGATACGTAAGAGAACAGAAACGCCAGACCCGTTTTCATTCAGATATTTATATTATAATTTTGAAAAATATGTAAACTCAATAAACAAACAATGGTCACTTACACCTGGTTCCCATAGTTAACGAGACAAAAATAAATAAAGGGTAAATTATACCGATCGTCGTTCGTACATATTCCAAAAAGCGTGTTTAGTCTCTATTTTCAAAAATTAATTCGGACCGTCCCTTGTTTGGTTTAAACTTTCATGTTTCATCCATCGTTATTTTAAATCTGCACAATTCATCATTTGCTTAACATAAAATGACTATATTGCCCTTACTGTTTTATTTTGTTTTTATAAGAAAAACAAAAAATAAATTTTAATCCTTTATATTTACACTTATTAATAATTTATAAATAATTAAACCTATCACCCCACCCCCCATTTACCTAGAAATACCCTAATTCTCCATTCACGTTCTTCATTGTCCTCACCTCCCCTTAAAATCAAAATCCGACAACCGGAGATACAACCACCACCAGAACCTGCTTGACCACTGCCACTGACCACCACCTCACTTCCCTTCCCCGATTCATGTCGGAAATGTGGACTCAACCACCGACATACTCGACTAAAGGAGACCTTGCGACCAATGCCGACCGCCCCTAATCGATCCACCAAATCATCTGGCAACCACGAACAACAACGATTTCTGGGACCCGACTTGCGGCGGCCAAACCTTAGATCTTGTTATTGCCTTTGTTGTTTCCGACCAAACCCCCATCTCCTTCTCCTTCGTTTTCTCCCCACGATTGCACCTCATATCTGACTGTTCAGAAGAAAATCGAACCACTATCTTACTGATTAGGCTTCAAATCATAAGAAATCGAATTTGCATCAGAAGTTTTTTTTTTCATACGGGGGTTTCTTCTTCATATTCATACGAAGATATAAACCATATTTGTAGTTTTTTTGTCTATGTATGTATGTGTATTAGTTTATGTAAGTATTGATTTATGAATTTGATGCCGTGAATGGATTTCTGGATTTGATTTTTTAAATAGCTTTGATGTCTTGAATGGATTTTTGGGTTAGCATTTTTTTGGATTAGAACATGGATTGCATGTGTTTTCCCCAGTAACAAAGGTAGCGGTGGCGGTCGCCGGAGGTTAGTGGTGGTGGTGACCGGAGGCTAATAGTGATGGTAGTCTTAAGTAATTTTCCAATGGCTAAATATAAATGGCCCACATATTTAATAAATAATATTTTTAATGGATTAGTAATTAATAATTAAAAAATAAATAAATAAATAAGGGCAAAACAGTCTTTTTATGTCCAGAGGGATGAAATGTGCAAGTTTTAAACAAACGAGGGGACGGTCCGAGTTAATTTTTGAAAATAGGGACTAAACGTGTTTTCTGGCATATGCACGAGGGAGGAATGGTGTAATTTACCCATAAATAAATAAATAAAATAAAATAAAATTTGTGGAAATAAAAAGAAAATAAGAAAAATTGGCCGAGTTTCATTAGGAAGAAAAATGGAATGAAGTGGCGGAAAATAAAATGTTTATTTTTCCTCATAACTTTCCTTCCGGTTTGGAAAGAAATAACAAAATGATTAACTTTTCTTCCACTTCTTTCTAATTCGGGAACACAAAAGAAATTTTTTTCCCTTTCCTTTATTTTCTTTTCTTTCCTTACTTTATTTTCTCTTTATTTTTTTTTCTTTGTTTAAACTTGGGAACTAGACGTTAGAGTAAATTACATGGATGCTTCCTCGTGTAGATGCCAAAATACACGTTTGGTCCCTATTTTCAAAAATTAACTCGGATCATCCATCGTTTGGTTAAAAGTTGCATGTTTCATCTCTCCTTAATTTAAATTTACACGCTTCATTCCTTTCGATACATGAAATGACTATAATGTCCATTTCAATTTATTTTTCATTATTTTTATCACCCAACCCTTTTAAAACATTAAACCTAATATATAAATTTCTCTTTTGTTTGAGAACAGTTAAACACCACAGCCGAAAATTTACACCACCACCAGAAACCTTCTTACCGCCACTAGAAACCTTCTTACCGCCACTGACCACCAAAAATGTAACACAAAACACACGTAAATGGAAATCTTAAACGGAGCACTCACACATGACCTACTCCTCCCTCTTTAAATTCATCCTTCTGTCCCAACATCGTCATTACTTTCAGTTTCTTCGACTCCGATGATGAATCACGATCGTCTTCTCCTACCCATAACCAATTGTTGCAAGAGTACCACCACAATAATCCCATCAAATGACATCTCTTGCACCTCCTTCATTCTTGATCCACCTTCTGCCACCGATGACAAACCCTTCTTCGTAAAAGGGTCTCTAGTAAGCTATGGTTGTTGTTTACCAAGATTCAATACCAACAGCTGCAAGAGTACCACCACAATAATCCCATCAAATGACATCTCTTCCACCTCCTTCTGTAGCACCCGATTCTTGGTACGTATTTAATTCCATGAAAATGTTACAATTTACCCTGGGACTCGGCGAGTTGGAGGCCCAACTCGCCAAGTAGACTCGACTGTTGATCGGGGGTTTAAGTGACCTACTCGACGAGTCAGAAGACCGACTCGACGAGTAGGAGCTGTCTGGACAAAACTCTAATATTTAGGGTTTGCACCCTATTTAAACACTTTATCTTGGCCTCCATCGCCCTTATCACTCCCAGAAAGCTGTGTAACGAAACCCTAGCCGTTTTTGTGTGTTCTAAGGCCATTTTGGTGCATTTGGTGGGTTGTATAGCTTGGAGAAGAAAAAGGAAGCTTGAGAGTTCGAGTTGGGGCTTAGAGATTCAGGGATCTAGTTCCATTTTCAGCCCAATCAAGGTAAAATGCCCCTGTCTTGGTCTTCTATGTGTTTATTCATCTTTGGACTTGGGTTTTGGGCACATTTAGGGCTTTCCAAGCCATTTTTGGATTTGTGAGGTGTACATGGAATCTTGACTTCAGATCTGAGTCATTGGAGGGGTCTCATGGCATAAAGGTGCCAACTTTAAGGCCATGAGGGCCCCATGCATTTTGTAGAATACCTTTTATGGCTTTTTGAGCCAAATACCCCATGTATGTGCACCAAGTTTGGAGCTTTACGTGTAAAATGGGCATTAGAAGGTCAGATCTATGGTTTTGAGGTGTTAAGACCCATTTAAATCGACTGTATAGTAATGGTCAAGATTGGGCTCGACGAGTCGTTCTTGGGACTCGGCGAGCCGGGGTGTATTGACCACCAAATCCCTTCTGTGGATGGACCAGTTATTTGGATGGGAAGTCCTTTAGCTGTTTAGACGCGTAAAGGGGCCTGGGAATCATAGGACTCGACGAGTGTATGAACAGACTCGGCGAGTCCAAGGCAATCTCCCAATCTTTGAAGATGGACTCAACGAGTTATTCATACAACTCGGCGAGTCATAAACTGGACACATTCTTATGAGGGAGATGAACTCGACGAGTTCAAGGATGAACTCGGCGAGTCGGATGAAGATGGTCCCGATGGTTTGAATGAAGGAGAACCCGTCGAGTTCTTGCTAGACTCGATGAGTAGAGTCGGGGTTGGATCGGGTTAGTGGAGTATGGACACGACGAGTTGGTATACCAACTCGGCGAGTCAGGTCAACTGGGTGTTGACTTTGACCAATGTTGACTTTGCCTCGTTTTGGTACTAACCCTGGTTAGGGTTGTATGTTCGGTTTGTTGACTTGAAGGTTGTCATGTAGGGATTGAGGAGTCGTGGAGAGCCGACCTTCACGCAGAGGATAGTTCAGACGCTACACGACATCGAGGTGATTTACCTTCCAGTAGGAGTGGGTCTACGGCCACAATGCCGACCCACTAGTAGGAATTGTTTGTTAGATGATTGTCCTTGTGATAATTATCTGGTGTATTGCTATCTGATATGCTTTATATGCTAGGATGTTATGATATATGTGTTAGTAGTGATAGGGGTGATATAACCCCTAGTTACCGGTTGAAAGATACCGTACGCGGGAGATGAGGATATGCGGAGGACCCGCTATCACGACATGTTGAGAGCTGATATTCGGGAGCATGTCAGCTTCTCAGCATGCCCGACCCTGGATTCCATGATTGCCAGGGCGAAGGAGAGAGAGTTAGACTTGGAGCACATCAGGAAGAGGAAGGTGGAGGAGGGACATGTTATTGGGGCTTCGGGGAAGAAGCCCAAGGGATTCGACTCTAGGTCGAAGGGCCAGCAGGGTCGGGGCCGCTGTGGGAAATGCGGTAGGTCACACGAGGGGGTTTGCAGTACTGGGTCGGGATCAGGCTGTTATAAGTGCGGCAAGGCTGGGCACTTTGGTAGAGATTGTACTACCCCTGCCCCCACCTTTCAGACATCAGACCTGATTTGCTTTCATTGCAATCAGAAGGGCCATAAAAGGGCCAATTGCCCTCAGTTGTCAGCAGCAGCGCCAGTAAAGGCGCCAGCTCCAGCGACCCTGCGGATTACCGATGGACGGCAGGGCAAGACAGAGGCTCCAGTGGTGAGGAGCCGAGCCTTCCAGTTGACTACCGAGGAGGCACGCGACGCACCCGATGTGGTGACGGGTATGATCTCTTCTCCCTAGCATTTATTATTTTTTTATAATGCTTATGATATTGATGTGCCATATGTATGTGCTCTGTTTAGGATCGTTCCATGTGAAAGGTATCCCAGTTCAGGTATTGTTTGATTCGGGTGCTACCCGATCATTTGTCTCTCTTGCGCTTAGCAAGAAGTTTCCTGAGTCTTCGGGCATGTTGGATTGCCCTTTAGAGGTCGAGATTGCGGACGACCGGTCAGTGCGAGCATCAGAGGTCTACCGAGATTGTGTTTTGAGGCTGTTCGAGGAGCGCTACCTAGTAGATCTGGTTCCCATACCTTTGCGGGGGAACAAGGTTATTATTGGTATGGATTGGCTAAGCCGCAATGGGGCAGTGACCGACTGCGCGCAGTAGTTGGTGCGGATTAGGACCCTAAGTGGGGGAGAACTGGTGATTCAGGGCGAGAGGCCACAACGAGGACCAACCTTATGTTCGG